CTCTCAGCTTTAGGAGCTATTGGGCAAGCAGTTTATTAGACCGAGCAGTTCGCCTTGTGGAGTGTCGATCTTATATTTTGAAGAAGAAGCATGGGTCCTACAACATGTGTATTGATTATCGAGAGTTGAACAAGTTAACGGTGAAAAAACCGTTACCCACTTTCATATTTTGATGATTCTTCAATCAGCTACAGGTGCATCTTGGTTCTCCAATTTCAATTTGAGATCAGGGTATCATCAGATGGGAGTTCGGAAGGAGGACGTAGATAAGACATTGTTCGGAATCGTTATGGTCAACGAGGTTATGATGATGCCTTTTAGGCTCATCAATGCTCCAACGACAGTTATGCATTTGATGAATTGAGTGTGCAGACCGATGCTCGATCAATCACTTATTGTATTTAGCGATGATATCTTGGTCTATTCCAAGACAAGGGAGCAACATGAGGAGCACCTTCAAGATCTTTAGGAGTTGTAAGGTAGGAGAGGCTTTATACTAAGTTCTCAAAGTGTGGGTTTTGGTTACGGGAGGTCCAATTCTTGGTACACCTAGTTAACTAGGACGAGATTATGGTTGACCCGGCCAAGATTGAGGGAGCCATGCATTGGGAGGTTCCTAAGTCTCCCTCGTAGATCATGAGTTTCTTGGGATTAGCAGGGTATTATCAAAGGTTCAATCAAGATTTCTCCAAGGTTGTTGTACCCCCCACTCGTCTAACGAGGATGGGTGTGAATTTCCATTGGGGTAATGAGCATCATGCTGCGTTCGAGACGCTAAGACATAAGTTATGTAAGACCCCGGTGTAGACCATTCCGGAGGGTGTGGAGGATTTTGTTGTTTATTGTGATGCTATCTAGATAGATCATAAGATTTTTGAGATATCTCATGGATCAGCCAAATATGAATATGAGACATCATGGATGGCTTGACATGGTTAAGGATTATGACTACGAGATTATTTATCACCCGGGGAAAACGAATGTGATCGCTCATGCTTTAATCCGGAATTTGGCTAGTTCTTCTGCTGGGAGTTATGCATGCGGATTGCTATCAACTCGCTCCTCCTGGATTTTATTAAAGAGGCTCAGCTTGAGGAACTCAAGAAGGAAAATTAGAAGCAGGAGCAAATTAGGGATGAGATTAACAGGTTTTGTGACAATCCGAAAATTTTAACCTTGTAAAGTCAAGCCAATCAACTAAAAGTCAGACTTAATTTCATTTCCTTCTAGACTTGTTAAGGGTCATTCTAATGAGTTCTAAGCCTAGTACACTTAAGGATTGGGTGTAGGGTAATGACAGCTTATGTTCATTGGTTTGCAATCGAGCCGGAAACTCCATCACAAGGAGTTTACGACTGTAAACTCTTGGTTGGCCGTAAACTACTCCCATATACATGATATTCCTTCATTTTTTCACCACTTCTCACAATTCCAAGTCTAGAAAATCGATTCTCTCTCAAGTATCATCGAGTTCTTCATCCTAGATCTTCAAAAACGTAAGTGTTTCTTCCATATTTTAGTTGTTATCTTTCTTAATCATGAATCATCCTTTGATTTCATCCATGAAAATCATCTTTTTGGTTAGATCTCCAAGATATTCATCTTTCACCAAGAACACACACTTGTTTTTGGTGGCCGTGAACCCGCTTTGAGCCTCCAAAACGTAAGTGTCCCTTCCCTATGCTTAGTATACGTTAGAAACTCATGTTAAACACCTTAGAATCGACCATTTGGATGGAACAAAAGGAGTGTAACAGCCGTACACCCTTGCATGGCCGTACACACCTCAAACACCCTAAAAGTGCCTCCAAAGTGAGAATCTAGTTCATATTCTTGATGAGAAATCAGTCACTAGCTTTCCCATTGTTCAATACCCTCTTATGCAAGTTTTACCATGAGTTTACGATCGTACACTCCATGGCGGTAAACACCAAGTGGTGGACGTAAACACCCCTTTGATGAATCACATGTGATTCTAAAACTTAGTCCAAGTCCTAAGGGTGTTTCCTAGCATGTTAGTTGCTTAAAACACTAAATTCATGCCTATATGTGCAATATATGTCATTTAGGACTCATTTGTGTCCGGGATTTAATTCGTGGAACTTCTCATCCTTACACGCATCTGCAATTGAATCATCCACATAAGGTCAGTTCATACCCCTATAATCAAACTTTTAAACTGTTTTAAATGCTTTTAAGTGGGGAATACAAGTTGGACACAATGATAATCACTACTAGAAAATAGCCCTTTAATGACGCGCAAATAATGACAGTCACTGATAGAGGACGTGCATTTTTGTGTGCCCTAAAAAATAATGTCAGTTTTGCAGAATTTAAAGGATTTTGGACACGCATTTTTGCATGACCTAAAATTAGTGTCTAAATAAAAAAAACAAGGAGGGCATCTATAATAAAATTTGTATCGTCTAAGATTGTCATTTTATAAATTTTAATATGATGCGCGCATTCCATTTGGGAAAAATAAAATCCCAAAAACTTAAAAACCCCGCCTTCCTTTTTTTCCTCCTCCACTATAGTTTCCCTCTTTGTAATAGCTAGGGCTTTTCAAGAACTTGCCCCAGCCACCTTCCTCTATTGCTCGTTCTCTCGTTGATGTCCCTTTCTCTTCTTCTCAGTTCTCGATGTCGATAGCTTCTCCCACCTCCGACATTTCTCTTGGCGTTGGGCCTCCCACCTCTGACCTCCGTCCAGCCCCGCCCCGCCGTCCAACGCTTTCCAACGACACCCAACCGATAAAGCCCCTCCTCTTTGGCACTTTCCAGCGAGACCCAGCCGGTGGAGTCCCTCTTCTCCAACAGTCTTAGACGAGATCCGACGACTCACCAAGACTTCCCAGCGGTGTCACTGACAATTCCCGCCGCAATTAAAACCCTTATGTCGATGCTCCGCTGTCCATCACCGGAAGCCAACGAAGCTGCCCTGCTCGCCCTTCTTAAGCTCGTTGTTATGGACGAAACGTATGTTTATTTATCTTTCTGCTTTTACTTTGATAATATGATGATGATGATGATGATGATGAGCTTTATGTTTAATCGTTTTCTTTTCTTATCGTTGCATATTTTCTGGATGATTCAATCGTATGTTTGTGCTACTTATTATACAAAGGGAGGGGAGTATGGTGATGCTTGTATGATCCAAGCTCTTCTCTTCTTGTTACAACTGGATTTGATTCTGCCATAAAAGTGCATCAGCTACATTCTTCTTTTCCCATGGGATCGGAGTCAGAGAGATGCAATGGTCTGGAAGAGTATGAAAGAAAACAAATGTTTACTATCCAAATTCCAGATGCAATCTTCTTTGCCCAAGTGCATCAGATCCATTCCATTCCTTCATCTTCCTATTTCATCCAACCAAGGAAATACTACATCTTAATTTCTTATTTTTATTTGAGGTCATCTGTAAGAGTTATGGCATCACGTTAAGACATTTTAGTCAAAAAAGTGGTTATTAAGGTTGGTTAATATCTAGTGGTTGTAGCTAATTCATCTGCTTTAAACTTGAAGTGTTTTGTGTTTTCTATTGAATGTATCTTTCTGTGTAGGTTATTGTTAATGCTTTCCCAATCCTTCTTAGAGGTTCAGAAGAGCAATTATGCAGTCTATTGTTAGAAGATAAATCCTTATTCTGTAATGAGCTGCTTGAAATGTTAGCTAAATCCTTATAGATGATCTACCTGGATGGGAGTCGTGATCAGACTAAGCTTGCTGTTTCTACAATCAGTGGATTGATGGTTACTTCTGAGCACTCCAATCTCTCAGATCTGTGCAAGGTCTATTTAACTCATTTTCTTTTCATCTCATAATCTGCAATAAATCGGATTAGTGGTTTAATAAGGATATCAACGAGTTTTGGAACTGTTTATTTGCTGCAATATCTCATGTTAACATTGTTATACATACTGATACTATAGGATACCTGCTTCTTTTTATTTGAAGGGTAATGAACTGATGCACCAAAAAAAACTGATAAGCACACCTTTGGAGTTTGGAAGCAAGTCGTTCAGTGTTGCTGTAACATTGTTTTCACACGATAAACAAACTTAAAATGGTGCAAACAAGTTTTAATATATTATAAATTTAAGCACAATAAAACTTGTTAAGTAACACCATACGTACACTCTACATTATATGTTATATGTTGTTTCTTCTCTAAATAAACACCAAAGTTGAACACGCTGACGTTGCTTCTTATCTTATTAGTTGTGGATGCTCTTAAGAGTGGGCCACCTACTCATACAGTTTTACAGTCGTTGGGCTGCATGGTTCAGCATTCTGTTGCTGCATTTGAACCCCATGCTGAAGAGATGACTCGATATATCGTTGAAAATATCTTAGGTAGTTGAATTCTGGGACAAAAAGTTGTATGATTAAGGATAGAAAAGATTGTTATAAATTGCAAATTAGATATGGATCTGTTAGACATTCAACCTCATTTTCGTTTTCTACAGGTCTCAAGATTAGGGTATGGCTGCATGGGGCTTACATGTATCTATAACAATCGATAAATGAATCTGTATTCGCAATTTATACTCCTTATATATTGTCACTAGCGTCTGGGAAATTGGATTCTGGCTCTTTCCTCCATTGTATCTCTCAGGATCTTTGTTTTCTTCAAGCTTCTTTCGAGGCATAAGTTTGGTAGCTCATTCTTATAATTCGTGTATTGATCTTCTTACACTTCATGTATGTAATTGCTTTGAATTGATGGCTTTTTAGTTTAGAGATGGCAGAAGAATGCTCAGACGGAGATGACGATAAAACCATAATTTGTAAGATCAGAAAACGGGTGTTGAAGAAGATGACAATGTTTCGATCAATTGTCCAAGTAGGCGTCTGAATTCCAATGTCTATAGTTTAGAATATCAACACTATAAAAAGATTTAATTTGATGAATTTAGGTTTGATTAGTACTTATTAATGCAGGAATGGGGGTTTGAACTTCCAACAGGGAATATTTCAGATCGTGCAATGATCAAATATACAGATTTTTTGCTGGCAACAGCATCTGGAAAAGCAGTAGGAGAGAGATTCCCTGGTAAGCTCGCAACTCCATTTAAGAAAACTAAGCTTTCTGCTTATGCCCTTGCTGCCATGGTCGAGAGTGCTGTTGTTTCCGAGGTAAAAAATAGTAAAACCATTTTCTTTATTTGGGAAAAAGACTTAATTACCCTTTTCTTTAATAGGAATTAATGCAAGGTTTTGATCAAGAGACTGCTGCTGTAGTAGTGGCTAGATTATGCAACATCCCGAAATCGCAAAAGTAGAGTTGAAGGGCTAAAAGTGTAAGTTTCGAAGGGTGACTCGGCGAGTCCATGGATAGACTCGGCGAGTCAGGTCACGACTATGGTCGCGTGTCAAGTGGCCTACTCGGCAAGTCCAAAGATGGACTCGGCAGTAGGTGTTGTATGGAGAAAACCCTAATTTTCGGGTTGAGCCCTATATAAAGAGCATTATGCCCCTCCACAGCCTCCCTTATTCCCCCCTTGAGTTCCAGAAACCCTAAATTCGTGGAGAGTCCATTTGTGGAGCAAATTAGAGCTTGGAGAGGTGTTGGTTGAAGAAATCTTGAAGGAGAAGTGGCTTGGATCAAAGGGCTTTGCTTGGATTCGAGTTTGGTTGCTATTGAGGCATCTTTTGGAGGTAATACTTTCGTTCTTGGGCTGTGCTTTCCTAGTTTCTCATTTTGGGGTTGTGTGGGGTGCTTAGTTGTGTGGCATCTTGATGTTTGGGGTATGGATCTGAGGTTGCTACCTCAGATCTGGAGTGAGAAGATCTTAAGAGCATTAAAGCCCCTGTTCTTGTGTTGTTAATGGAGCTATCATGTCCCAAACCTTGGTTCTAAGGTGAATAAGGCCTAGATCTCTTTAGATTCACGTAAAGTTTGCCACTTTACGTGATGGATGGATTGTAGGAGGTTGGATCTATGTTTTGGATCAATTGCATGGCCTGAGATGCTTCTGTATGGATTCAGACCGGTGGTACTCGTCGAGTCACATGGGGGACTCGACGAGTTGCTTGAAGATGGCCTGGAACTCGACGAGTTGGAAGAACAACTCGGCGAGTAGGTTGAAGATAGCCTTGGACTCGACGAGTCCATTTGGACTCGGCGAGTCTTGTCGAGGAAGTCCCAATATTTCTGGTTGAGTCGATGAATCGGTGAGTCAAGGGATGACTCGGTGAGTTGGGTGCGAGTGGACTCAGAGTTGTTGGACTCGACGAGTCTTGGGGTGACTCGGCGAGTTGGGTCGCTAATTGAGGGAAGTTCTGAGCATAAGGACTCGGCGAGTCATCGGGTTGACTCGGCGAGTAGGGTCAGTCAGGGGTTGACTTTGACTTGTCCAAGGTTGACCAGTTGTCTTCCAGGGGTATTTTGGTAATTAAGGGTATTTATTGAGTTGTATGTTTTGATGTTCAGTGGAGGAGTTCGTGTCAGAGTTCGGAGCAGCGGGATCTTATCCTTTCAGCCGGCAGTTTCGAGGTGAGTTATCCTCACTATATCAACAGGGTCTAAGGCACCAAGTCGACCCTTTATTGGATTGAGATTCGGATATGGTTATTATGTTATTGTTTGATGTGTCTGCATCCTGGTATCTAGGATGGTACATGCTAGGGACTTGTTAAGGTCAGTTTCCATATATATATATAAAGTGATGCTATGCTAGTGACCGGTTAGGTCGGTAACCTGGGTAGGGTAATGATATGCTATGTGATCTGTTTGTTCGGTTGTTGGCTATGACTGTTATATGATTGTATGTTTTGTGCACATGGTTGTTTGGACTGGAGATGGGTTGAGGCGGGTCCTGCTTTGTTCTGTAGGCCAAGACACCCAGGGCGGACCGGTTATTCCGAAGGCCCATCGAGCGGTCCGGATAGGCTGTAGGCCCACGAGGGCGGACCAGACGTGCCGAGGCTCGGAGAGTGGACCAGGCCGACTGAAGGCCCAATGCGAGCGGACCAGTCACACTGTAGACTCGGAGAGTGGACCAGGTGGGTTGAAGGCCCGATGCGGGCGGACCAACCCCACTGTAGACTCGAAGGACATGACTAGACCTGCAGGATGGATCCGGTGGACTGAAGGCCCGATACGGCGGACTAGTCACACAGTAGACCCGATATGCATGGCTGTTCTATGTTCTGTTATGTTATGTATGTTTTATATGTTTTGGACCGGAAGGTCGTAGCCTGGAAGGGCGTATACGTGGTTGGTATTTTGGGGGTATCTCACTAAGCTTTCGGGCTTACATTTGTGGTTTAATGTTTTTCAGGTTCTTCAGGAGACCGTGGCAAGGCGAAGGCGTGATCGTACCGCCCCTCATGATTTTGTACCAATGTGATTCTGGGAATACCCTAATGATTTGTATTGAAAACCTTTTTGTAAACATTTTGATGAAAATCGGGTTGTTTTGAAAAATTTAAATTGGTTGTATTTTTTTGGACGTTACAGATTAACTTCTTATAAAATGGAAATGGAGGTGAATTTGCACTTTTTTCTAGTACTTTTTACACAAATCAAATATGTAAATTTTATTTACAGAATTACCCTTTTCAGGAATCATTTGATGCAACGAGGTGGATAGATAGACACTTAATTCGTTTATGTTCCAAATTTGGGGACTATAGAAAAGACGACCCTTCTTCATTTTCTTTAAACCCTGGTTTCTCATTGCTCCCTCAATTCATGTTCAATATTCGAAGATCACAGTTTGTTCAGGTAAAAAGTTGTTAATTTACCGAATTGTCCTTTTTGTTATATGCTCTTAATTTTATGAAATGTTGGCAGGTGTTTAATGATAGTGTAGATGAAACTGCTTATTTTCGAATGATGTTAAACAGAGAAAGCATATCAAATGCAACTGTGATGATTCAGCCTTCATTAATTTCATATTCATTTAACTCTTTTCCTTCTCCTACATTGCTTGATGTGGCATCAATTTCAGCTGGCAGAATCTTGTTGTTAGACTCTTATTTTAGTGTAGTTGTTTTTCACGGCATGACAATTTCTCAAAGGAGAAACAATGGCTACCAACATCAGCCTGAACATCAAGTACTTTTTCCTCATTTCACTTTTCCTTTCTATAATATTAAAAAACCATCAGATCAATATTTTTTTTAATATTTTGTAGGCATTTGCTCAGTTGTTACAAGCTCCACATGATGATGCAGAACTGATAATACGTGAGAGGTTTCCTGTCCCACGATTGGTGGTGTGTGATCAACATGGTTGTCAGGTAAATGACTATTTTACCCTCACATTCCAAATAACAAATTTCACAATATTGATTAGTTATCGAGTAAATTAAATTACAGATAAAGTGTTGTTGTATACATAAGGGTTGTTTCTTTTCTAGACTGAGTAAACCGTTTGAACGAGACTAGATGATCATTTTACCCTTGCATTCTAAATAACCAAATTTACAATATTCATTAATTATAGAGTAAATTACATTCTTGGTTTCTAAATGTAGCTGATTTTTTCAATTGTGGTCACAAAAATATATGAAAAACAGGTAAGATTCTTATTGGCTAAGTTGAATCCATCAGCAACATATAACAATAAAGTGGCTACAGCTGGAATGGATGTCATCTTTATTGATGATGTCAGCCTTCAAGTCTTCTTTGAGTATTTACAGAGGCTTACTGTTCAAACTTCTTGAAAATTAAGGAATCTTCATGTCTTCTATTGTTATAAAACTTCTTTGAGCATTTACAGAGTTGATGATGCAACTGTCATCTCAAGTAAGTTGTTATACCTATTTTCAATTTTCTGTTTAACTCTTTTCTAATATTTTTCAAGAAATGTCAACAACATGCAGGAGAAATCATACTATGCATTGCTTCCATTGTTAATGAAAGCTATTAGATGGCAAGGAGGACGTATACTAGCCCTTGAAACACTAAATCGTGTGGTGGTTGCACAAGGTCTTAAGTCAGTCATCATGTCATGTATCTAAAATCCAATCTTTTCCATGGATCCAAGTCGACCTTGATCTAGATCAAGGACACCGAGGGTTGTTAGTTTTATAGGAATGTATGACCCATGTTAGCAATGTATTATTTTTGTATAACATTTGAATGATTATTTCTATAACATATCATACTTTGTGCAATTTATTTAATTTTTTCTGTATGAAATTTTATTTTATATTATGACACAATAAATGTGTGACGTAATTTGAAAATTGGTAAATATAAAAAAAATACATATATAATTTTCAAAACATTTAAACTTTATGACACACAAAAATGTGTGTCGTCTTTCTTTATGACATGTGCTTTAACGATACGCAATGCAAGTCGTAAATGTGCATTGTTTTACAACATGCGAAAGTGTGTCATCTTCTTTATGACAGGGCCTTCCTTGACATGCATTGCGCGTCGTAAATAGACGACATGCAAAAGCGTGTTGTCTATCGTTATGACATGGACTTCCTTGACACACATTTGCACGTCGTCTAAGCGTTTTACGACACACATTGCACGTCGCAAATGGTTTTTTTTCAAGTAGTAAGTTGTGTAAATGTTTTGTTATAAACATCTTTTAAAGGATTTCTTATGTATTCATAAGTGATCAAAACATTTCAAAAACTCAAAAAATGTCTTTTTTTAAATCGTGATTTTTATAAAAGTATGAAAATTTTCACAATATAAGGAACAATTTATCAGTATACAGATTATTTTTCTGCTCACAGTGAACAGTGACTTCACAATAAATTTTGGGTGGGGCTCATTACAAAACAACATTGTTTTGCGGTGTCCCACTGAAAGTGGTTTTTGGAGAAATCACCTTAAATTTTGACTAATTCTTTTAAAAACTAAAGTAGAAAGACTATATTTGTCATTTTCTCAAAGTTTAAGTATTTAGGCATAATTCTATTCTGAATGGGAATTATTTTTACCAAACCTGTCAAAATGAACAGTTCCATATATATTCTAATAAATCAAAATTCTTTCTGTTAATTACCAATCTCTCGTGAGTTGGTATTTATAAAATAAATAATATTTATATATCAATTTTTGGTGTTTTTCAAATTTTAAAATTAAAAAACCACTACTTTTATATATATATATATATATATATATATATATATATATATATATATATATATATATATATATATATAGGGCGTGTTTGACAAAAGTAGCTATTAGCTGGAAGCAGGTAGCAGTTAGTTGGTAACGGGTAGCTGGTAGCGGGAAGCTGTAGCTTTAATTTGTTACCCTAAAGAGGAAGGAGCGAACAACCCAGGAAATCTCGCAGGAGCAACACATGGGTACTATATACGCCTCTACAACACCTGCTGCTCCAGCACCTGCCAGTCAATATGTTGGAACTCTCCCGAAGTGTGGAAAGTGTAAATACCACCACACTGGAGTATGTCGGGAAATGCATTGCATGAATTGCCACAGGAAGGGGCACACTGCCCAGTTCTACAGGGCACCAGCTCAACCGATCTCCCAAGTCCCTAGGATAGAAGTAAACTGTAACGCCCGTATATTAGGGCTAGTCAATTTAGAGACAATAAGCATCAAAAATGACTTTTTGATGGAAGATTATTCAGAAGGATTAATCTTAACCAAGTTGTAGTATATGTATCAAGGTTTCCGAAAATATAAAGAACGCCGAAATCCGAGTTATAACGAAGAAGTTATGACCTGTCGAAGTTTCGCGACAGAACCGGCACGACACAGCGCGACGTAAATAGTGAATTTACGTTATAGTGATATTTATCCAAAACAATCTAAATGAAAATTGAAGATCTCATCGATAGTAGTGCAATGACGGAAAGACGGACGAAAAAGGACGTCAGACGAAGGAGTTATGAGTTTATAACGGAATTTGTCTGTCCCGACCTACTAAAAATAATATATAAGTAATATAATTATAATATATTAAAAATAAATTCAAAATTAGCCAATGGAGTCTAAACGAGAGTTGTAGAGCATAATCTCACCTTCGCGTCGATATAAAGAACGTCGAAAACGGAGTTCGTATGCGAAAGTTATGAATTTCTAAAGTTCGGGGCATGAACCCCAAAGTTGTGTCAGAGATCACGACGTGGCAAGCAGTGCCACGACGTGGCAAGTCTCCTAACACCTCCGGGAGTCCCCGAAATGCAACTTGCAATGATGTATGCAGTGATGACCAAGCCCACGACGTGGAAAAAGGGTGCCACGACATGGCAAGGGCCAAATTTGCCCTATAAATAGATTTGAAGGGCCAGCCGACTATGGTTGCTCTATCCATTCTCTCCCACTCCCGATACACCCTCTAAGCCCTATTTTAACCCCCCGAAGCCCCGGTATCAACCCCGAGACCCGAAGCAAGTCCCGAAGCCTGAAGATCCCGAGAAGAAAAGAGTTTTCTAGCCGAAGCTCTGTCCGTGAGAAACCCAGTGTGTGATGATATCCCGGTTTCACCGAAGAATACTACTCTTAGAGCTGTAGTGTTGTCCGAGCATCATCTAACCAGGTGAGTGTGTGGTTACTTTCTTCTAACGCATAAATACGAAGTATTTTATATGAAATACGTGTTATGTGTATATTTTGTTGTTATATGTGTGAATGTATATTCACTTTCTTCTACCGCATAGATATGAGGTATTTGCTATGAAGTATGTGCTAGGTGTTTATACATTGTTTGTTTACTTGAGATAAATGTTGAAATAATGTGTTATACATGTTTTAAAAGATTTAAACTGTATATGTGTTTGCATCTACAAATATGTTGGGTAGAACATAGGTAGATGAAATAGTTGATGTGAGACGAAATAATAAGTATTTTTGAACTCTATGTGTTCACTTGGTGTTTGGACTAAATGTGTTCATTAGGTATTTCAGAACTCTATGTGTTCACTTGGTGTTTGGACTCAATGTGTTCATTAAGTATTTTAGAACTCTATGTGTTCACTTGGTATTTTTGGACTCAATGTGTTCATTAGGTATTTTAGAACTCTATGTGTTCACTTGGTATTGTTGAACTAAGTGTGCTCACTAAGTGTTTTAGAACTAAGTATTCATCAGATGTTTTGAATTAATTGTTCACTAGGAGTATTAGAACTAGGTGTTTGTTAAGTATGTTGAACTAAGTGTTTACCAGTCGTAATTTGTGGACCTTGGCAGTGGTGGACTTTGTGTCAATTCCTTAGGTCAATCCTTAGGAATAAATGGATAGAGGATAGTTGATTCTTAGGGTAAATCCTTAAGAAATAAAGGAGATAATGGGAATGAGTATTTGGGTTGATTGTTTGATAATTAAATATAATAAATGTATTATTGTGGGATGAAAACCCTATATGCTCACCAGGCTCCCAAGCCTGACCCATTCAGTTTTCTTTGCATTACAGGTAATGGCACAAGAGTATAAATTGGTGGACTAGATGAGAGATTTTGGATTATAGATCAGTAGTTACAAATAACTGTTGTAAGGTCTATTTTATATTGTTTATGCTTTTGGTCTGTATCGAACATGACATCCCGAGGTTTTATTATTTAATGAAAATACATTCTCTTTGAGAAACGTTTTGATAAACTTTATCATATTTTATTTTGGGAACAAATTCCGCAACTCTTTTAATCAAAAGATTACTCTGATTTTATAAGAACAAAGCATAAACAAATCGGTCTTTTCTGGCCGTGAAATTGGGGATGTCACATAAACCAGGCCCGCTATGGTTGTGGCAAGACAGGGCATTACAAGTGGGACTTCCCGATAGTGAGGAACTCATGTGCAGATATATGGATTTTGATGATCACCGCAGGAGAAGTTTCCCCGGAGTCCCCAACAACCAGCGGTACGTTTTCGGATTATTAAATTTCTTTAAATTTTAATTTATATTTATATAAGATTTAAAAACTTGGGGAAAACATTTAAAAGTAATTACAATAACTCACTCGTCTGAATAAGTCGCAACATTCACAAAGGAACTAAAGATCCGTTCGGAGAAGCTATGATGGCTTAGTGTATACATCAGGGTTGCGTATAGCTGAGATGTTGCAGACTCAGAGTGAGTGATTCCACCTTAATTCATGTTCCTTGTTTGGTTGTGGATTTGAGGCAGAGTTACTCAGTCGACCGTCTTATTCATCTTAATTATACGTAACCTGTATATGTCATGTGATCATAGTGGTACCGAGGAGGATCATAATATAGAGTATCACCACTGGTTATTAAAACACTGCACTATTAGTACTCACTTATCGCGGTACGATTTGTAGCAGTGTTAATATCAAGGGAAAACAGAAAGCACTAGAACATTTACATAGATTACATTGTTGAACACACTCGGGTTACACCGTCGTATAACAAACGTTTCTTTCAAATCGGCCTAACATTTGTTTTTGTAAAGAGTCTGTTGTCATCATTCATCATAAAATGGTGTGGTCCTCACCATACTAACTTCATATGTTTCCATCGCCCTGTCCGTCAAATTCACGAAACCCTCATCATCTGTAACGATAGCCCAACCCAGACCTCAAAATCATCTACCTCGTATTCTAAGCCCCGAAGTACTCATGCGAGGAATACCTTTCCCTCCAAAACCTTACCGCCGTATATTCAGCAGACCTTCCCGAACTACCACTCGTCCAACAGATCAAGTTCAAGCACAAAGGCTAAGGACGAATACAACCCACCTATCACTACTAAGTGTATGCGTGAGAGTGGCATATAGCTATATTTATGCAGATTTAGTATGTGTGTCTCAGCCCTATCTCTTTTTCCTTGTTTGGTTGTGGACTTGGGGCAGAGTCGCACATCCGACGGTCTTACTAATCTTAGTTGTATATGACTTGTATACATGAGGAAATGATAGATGGACCAAGTATGAATGCTACCATGGACATTCGGGCAAGGATGCCCAGGTCTACGAGTGGGTATTCTGACAATCAGAGGAGCACAAATCTAGTAGTACTGCTAAGAAAGCTAATTTCGGGACGAAATTCCATCTAACGGGGGATGATGTGACAACCCGAAAATTTCAACCTTGTAAAGTCATGCCAATCAACCAAAAGTTAGACTTAATTTCATTTCCTTCTAGCCTTGTTAAGGGTCATTCTAATGAGTTCTAAGCTTATTATACTTAAGGTGGGTGTAGGGTTATGACAACTTAAGTTCATTGGTTTGCAATCGAGCCGGAAACTCCATCACAAGGAGTTTACGGCCGCAAACTAGGAGTTTACGGTCGTAAACTCTTGGCTGGTTGTAAACTCCTCCCATATACATGATATTCCTTCATTTTTCACCACTTCTCACACTTCCAAGCCGAGAAAATCGATTCTCTCTCAAGTATCATCGAGTTCTTCATCCTAGATCTTCAAAAACGTAAGTGTTTCTTCCATATATGAGTTGTTATCTTTCTTAATCATGAATCAGCCTTTGATTTCATCCTTGAAAATCACATTTTTGTTTAGATCTCCAAGATCTTCATCTTTCATCAAGAACACCAAGAACACATACTTGTTCTTGGTGGCCGTAAACCCTCTTTGAGCCTCCAAAACGTAAGTATCCCTTCCCTATGCTTAGTATATGTTCAAAACTAGTGTTAAACACCTTATAATCGACCATTTGGATAAAACAAAAAGAGTGTACGGTCGTACACACTTGCATGGCCGTACACACCTCAAACACCCCAAAAAGGGCCTCCTAAGTGAGAATCTAGTTCATATTCTTGATGAGCAATCGACCCACTAGCTTTCCCATTCTTCAAAGACCCTCTTATGTATGTTTTACCATGAATTTACGGTCGTACACTTACGACAGCAAATAGAGTTTGATATTGCAAAAAACAAAGTTTACCTAAGACTTCATCATCGCAATATGAAGCTCAGTGTTCACTTTGAAAATCATCCATAAATATCCTTATCAGGAAAAAGAAACTTCAAAAAATGGATTTTTTTAAAATCGTGATTTTTATAAAAGTATGAAAATTTTCACAATATAAGGAACAATTTATCAGTATACAGATTATTTTTCTGTTCACAGTGAACAGTGATTTCACAATAAATTTTGGGTGGGGCTCATTACAAAACAACATTGTTTTGCGGTGTCCACTGAAAGTGGATTTTGGAAAAATCACCTTAAATTTTGACTAATTGTTTTAAAAAGTAAAGAAAAAAAGATTGTATTTGTTATTTTCTCAAAGTTTAAGTATTTAGGCATAATTCTATTCTGAATTGGAATTATTTTTACCAAACCTGTCAAAATGAACAGTTCCATATATATTCTAATAAATCAAAATTCTTTCTGTTAATTACCAATCTCTCATGAGTTGGTATTTTTAAAATAAATAATATTTATATATCAATTTTTGGTGTTTTTCAATTTTTAAAATTAAAAACCACTACTTTTATTTATATATATGGCGTGTTTAGCAAAAATAGCTGTTAGCTGAAAGCAGGTAACAATTAGTTGGTAACGGGTAGTTGGAAGCGTGTAGCAGGTAGCTGGTAGCGGGAAGTTGTAGCTTTTATTTGTTATACGAATATTAGGCAAAAATAGCTGGAAGCTTTTGAAATATATAAAATTATATAAAATGACAATTGATTAAAAATAAATAAATATATAAATATATTTTTAAGGATAATTATGGAAATTTATTTCAATAGCTCAGAAGCGTTTTGTTAAACGTTACATGAAGTAGCTTCTAGAATCGAAGTATTTTGTTAAAACTAAAAACTAAACACTCGTACTGTCAAACAAAGCTTTTTCTTTAAACTAGAGCGTTTTATCAAAAGCCAAAAGCTAAAAGCTCCCAAAAGTTTCGTGCCAAACACACTCGTAATGTATTAAATGTAATGAATATGATATTAAATTGCAATGAATAAGTTTCTTCCCTATTATGTTTAATTTTTTTTTTTTAATCCAACAGGTGTAGTACCCAGGTATCATTTTGTATAACAATTCAATATCATCTCTTTAAACTTAAAGCAAGTGTACATTTATCTTCATGCTCTACAAGTGATAACTTGAGGAACATATTGCAAAAGGCACTCAGTACACCACTCATACACTTTTCATTTTTGGAACTAATTCTATAGACTACAAACACCACACAGAACAACGTGAACTTAAAGCTAACAACTAACAGTTAAACACTAAAGGACCACAAGAAAAGGAGGACTTATTACAAGTGTCTCCTCCTTTTTACGCTTACTTGTACTTTTTAATAGGAACGATATAGATTTACATCTGGCACATGTGTGTAGCATACATCTGGCACATGGTGGGGATGATGATGATGATCATCATCGTTATTTTTGGGCCACATTTGTGGAACTGCCCAAGATGCATCGGGCACCTGACCTAAACCTTCATCTAATTCGGCCTCCATTCGTTTTAGAATTGGTGAACAGTTCCCATCATTAACCTAACACCATTCCATCAGTAGTTACATTAAACAAAGTAACTAACATGAAAGATAATGATAATTATTTATAGTTAAAACATCAAGTGATTTACAGAAAGGTGATGTGTTTACCTTGGAAGGGACATTATCGATGCAGTTGTAGTTCTGGTTGATATCAGTAAGAACCCTAAGATAATCATCAAACTGCCATTCTTCAAAACCATCAGCTGAAGAACCTACAACAGGAGACAAGCTAGGAGTAGGGGTAAAATAGTCAGTTTCAGAAGTTTGGACTGGAGGCAGATTGTTGTATTCATCAGCTGGAGACAAAGGGAGATTAGTTTTGGTGATGGTTGACTTCCTGGAAGTCAATGGTGCACCATGTTCTGCAGCTTCTTGTCCTACTTTCACTCCAGTAAGCAGAAACCTCTGGTGTGATGAAACAAAACTGTTGACTGTATGTATTGCAACATCACATTTTCTGCATAGTAAAGCCCTGTCTTCCAGACAAAAGAAGTAACCAACTGTTTCCTGTATAATAATATCATCTGCTGTCAAAATCTAAATAACTTCAATTACCTATTTACCTAAACACCTTGAATTCGAATATATAGCACTTCATGAATCAGGTTTTTCGATAGAATTTTCAAAATTAGTATCAAAATTCAACTGTGGACATTGATGCGATAGGTAGTATTAAAATTAGTATCAACTATCAGGCGCTCGCGCTCTATATTTTAAGGGAAATGAATCAACATGACAACACGATTTACTATCTGATCAATATCAGTTTTCGTTTCTTAACGAGATTAAAGCGCACATAGAAAGAGAATAGAATACACGATCACAGAGCGCAGAGATAACTAAACAAAAAAACCTCATCGCTCGATCAGCGAAAGCACAAGCTAAATGATTCCTATTAGAATTAATCTCAATAAATCACATAAATAGCTCGATCAAAAACCAATTGCTAACCAGAAGCGATTCAACGCACATACAAATTTCAATTAAGTAATCAAAATCCTCAAGTTAAAAGGAAAACACATGAGAGAAAAAATATATACATGTATATGATTGATTATTATACCTGGCAGATATCACACTTAGGCATCTGAGAATTAGAATTTGAAAGAAGAACTCGCTGATGCTTACTGGCGAGCTTATTGGCAGCATGAATCTTCTCATCGCAACTCCAACATAGAGCCGCCTCGTCGGCGCAACAAAGCACCGTCGCCTCCGCCATCTCACATACGTTGCACTGAATCTTCATCTCGTCGGATTGTCTCACCAAAACATTCGGTTCTTATCTTCTCTCTGTATTTGTAAACAACTGATGAGATGAAGACAAGGAGGTACGGGTTAAGAGAATGAAACGAAAGAGGAAGGGTATGAAGCAGCAAGTGGGGGGTTTAATGAGAACATGTGCTGATTCGCATTTAAAAAAGGAGTATGGGCTGTTTGATGTGTACTACAGTGACTAGTCACGTTGATTTTAATA